TGAAGTGCCAACTGACGAGTGGCATGTGGTTAGCAAGAGTACGCGCGGACGGCAACCCAGTGGCCCACGGTTAACAGCCGGACTAGAGGGGGCATGTGACTGGCCCATGGTTAACAGCTGGACTAGAGGGGGCATGTGACTGGCCCATGGTTAACAGCTGGACTAGGAGGGGGCATGTGACTGGCCCATGGTTAGCAGCCGGACTAGGAGGGCATGTGACTGGCCCATGGTTGTGAAGAATTTGGATGATGACACACCACTGATCTACGATTGGTTGAAGTATTAAGCGACCGCAGATGAGAGGCCCACGGTTGTCACGGGCGGGTCGAAGTAGTAAGTGACCGGTGTGTGGTGAAGAGAACAGTGTCCCCATGGCGGGTGATCGGTGCAGTTTTAATCGAGGAGGTGGTGGATCTCTTCATAGATCCCCCTCATAGGTTCCGCATCCCACGCCCCGTTTTTCGTACGATACGCTTCAACGATTCTCGTGGTTGGCATCACCCTGTTTAATGCGGTTTCCGCCTTGGTCCAGGCGTCTGGGTCTGGGTGTACCTCCGGCTCGTACGACGGAATGCTACATGTCTTCAACCAATTCTTGATGGGGCATCGCACGAGTTCGGAAAAACCGAACTTGAGGTCCTGGATTCGCCCAGCCTCCGTCTCTTGAAACACACGACAATAAGGATTTTTCATTCGCTCCATCCAATCATGTAAACGGCCCTTCAACTCACTTGGCAACTCGCAAGTCTCGAGTCTTGCTACTTGTGCGAATGCGTCTAGGCAACCAGTAATGGACCTCAACAAATTCCAGAGTAAGTTCTTTTCGGCATGAACTCCCTGGTGTAGTGTTCGCAGCTCCTCATAGGGTAGGTCCACATGCTCCACGTTCTCCAACCCTATTACCATATCTGGCATGCCCTTCAGAATCTTACAAGCGTCAACCAACAGTCTGGCGCCGTCCTTTTCGTAATCGGCGTCTCCGGAACTGGCATCGTCGTCCGTCAGAGCTAGCGACTCAAAGGCCTTCACCATATCCACCCACTTACCATACACGTTAATGGTCACGATCACCCTTGCCAGCGCCTGAGCCTTGGCTCCGCTCGGGACTTTAACACCACGCAAACACTTCATTAAAATATTCCTGAGAATAAATACAACCCATTTTCCGCAGTCGACATAATGAGCTGGACTCGGGTGCTTCCATTGCACAGCTGGGACAACAGCTTACTTCCTTCACGTACTCAAAGCTCCCATGGCATCCGCCATCGATTATGACCCTCTCCCTTCCGCTTCTATGCACAGTCATTACGACGCGTACTACCAGCTACCGACTTAGTCTGTCATATCGTCTCTTAGCCCACTCTCTCCGTGGCTACCTCACCGGCAGACATCTCAATAACTAACTCAGCCCATGCACGACAACCCTTTTTTGTGATTGTTTTGCAAACCCAACGACAGATGGTCGTACCGTGAGACGAGACCCAGCGACATCGAGGTGGATAATCGGTGCCTCAGTGCTCGGAGGCGACACCATCCGGCCCTTGTCTGCCCTGGTCTTGCAGTTCCACCTAGCCGCCAACTTCGCGTAGCGAATCTGCTTCTCCGCGATGACGTTGTTGAGCTTCGCCAGGTCTTCGGACTTGAAGGCGTGCATATACGATCTGCACTCGTCGTACAGCTTCCGGGCGACCTCAGAGAAGTACGACTCCACATTGCAGCGAGCCGCCTCAGTGAGGGTCGCGTATCGCAGGTCCGCTGTCGCAGGCACGACACGATCCGCTAGGAACCTCGTCGGCCGTGGCGTACTTGTAATAGGCCCTGGAGACCGTCCAATCATCGAACTCCTCCAACTCGGCTTCGGTCTGCGCCTCGAAGGGGGCCACGCTCACGTCCCGGCACTCCTTGCACCAGCTCCTGGCGACCGCCCCACCAGACCTTTTCCCTGCCGGTACCGCCACTTCTGAGCTGAATTGCTCAAGGTTCGGGACCGGATGCGTGTGCTGCCCGTGACCTTGCCATTGCCAGCCCCTCATCGCCACCACTCCCTCTCGTGATTGGGTAGTCGTTCGTGATGGTGTACGTCGGTTGTGTCTCTGGCGTATCGTTTATTCCCAAAAACCAAGGTGGACTGTTATGTCTATCCTCCCGTCCGTTTTCACCTCCATCAGCAGAGTTTTTGGATGGACATCCAGGGGGTCAAACCACCACGCCCAAACACAACGGCTCAGCAGGAACTGCCTAGACCTGCAAGATAGGAATTTTTTGGTTGTGTTTTTTTTAAGGGGGGATCACCAACATGATCGCCACCATGACCCCCCAATTACACCGCACACGACCACCCCTTGTCTCGGACGTGCGCCCGGAGCTGAATCACCACTCGAACAACATTCTTTCTTGGGGTCCAGCCGCTTCTTTTCTTCTCGACCTGCCCGCAGATATTTTCGGGGGTTAGATCGACCTTTCATCTCATGAACAGCTTCCGCTTTGTCGCAACCTGGATCATTTCTCGACAGAAAATCATCGCTGAATGAATGAACCTTGCAAGCACCGCCCTGACTGTTACTATTGTTACTAAGGGGTATTCCCCTAATGCAATCGGTTTTTGAGAAACGTGTATTGAAGGGGGTGCGCCTGCCGGCAAGAGCGTGCCATACTTGAGGGCGGCATATCCCTACTTGAGGAAGTATTCTAAACAAGGAACAACCCGTCTGCAGCGGGAGCCACCCGCTACTGCTGAGAAATTTCACTGCTTCAACTCATTCATGAGGTGTACGAAACAGTTCTTATCTGAAAGTGACTCCAGCAGAATTGGGATGCAAGTATTCGACGCCAAATGGAGTGCCACACATCTAAAACCTCTCATCGATTGAAACGGCCCCTTGAGTGTTCCACCCTTGAGTGTTCCACCCTTGAGTGTTCCACCCTTGAGTGTTCTACCTCAGTATGGACTTACGTTGGTTCATCTACTATATTAGCTTTCGTTGCTACTCGTCCTAGGTCTTTACGTCCCGAAATCACAGTTACCAATTCGTCGAGGGACATTCGTCTTATGTGAAGCTGCAGACACCAATCTCACCCCAGAGCTGCAGACACCCCTGGCACTCAATCCCAGAAACTTTTCGCCAGGAAGTTGGAGAAGCGTGTCCCAATCATATGTGCTTACCACCAACACTTGATCGCCAGCGTGTCAGCAGCAAGCAGATGTGTTGGCAGATTAATCCCAAGAGTCTCGTTCGCTGAACTTACGTGGTTGTTCACATCACAGGACATCACCAAGCAACTGTCAGAAGGCTGCCATCGCAAACGACAAGGTATCCGTTTTCCGTCCTGAACATAAGTGGGTCGCAATATATCAGATACGGGTTGACCTCAGCTTTGAGTCGACCTTGTTTCCGTGTAAGGCTTACGGCTATAACGACTGTCATGTGTATCGAGTTTTCCAGTCGATCTCGAAAAGCCTTGAGCTCGGCCGCTGTGGGAGGCACGATGGTCTCTTCTTTGTCATTGCTGCGTTTTTGAGGTCCCACCGTGCTCACGGTTTCCTTCTTGTCACTTGAGACGGCACAGCAATCGACCACGTTACCCATTAATAAAAAGGATTTGAATTTCAACCCCCGAATCGGCCCAATCCCCGACCCGACTGCTTCGTTCCCTGGCTAGATGGTTTAGTCACGAAGACTCAGTTGTCCGAAAGACTCAGTTGTCTGAAAGACTCAGTTGTCTGAAAGACTCAGTTGTCTGAAAGACTCAGTGTGATTGGAGGATAGTGAACAGTTGTTCCCTGGCCTCATGCCAAGAATGATTTTGTGGCTTGGTTTTCTCCCATCCCTTCTCGGTCCAAGAGCCTAGCGGGACCACAGGTGGGTCTGAATGTCCTCTTAGGATTGAGAGGAAGGTCTGGTCCTGACGTAAGGTATCCAACACGGTAGAGCCATTAGAATATTGAATGATGCGGATCAATGAGTCCAGCCAGGTGTCAATGACGTCTTCATCGGTTTCGGCAGCGAAGATAGTGATATAGGCGGGTGAGATGACGTCTTGCCATCGAGTATTAAAAGAGCTGGATAGAGAAGTGGCAATCGCCAACATCAAATGAGCGGAGGCACAGCGAACGTCTGGGTCAGAAGAGTCGACGAGTGAGTCCAGGTCCAGGTGGGTGATGAATTTAGCAGAAGTGGATTCTTTAGTGAATTCTTGATTGATGTCCCCATCATTTAAGCGCCACTCTTGACTCAAGATGCCACAAGCCAGGTCAATACCAATGAGCCGTAGTTGGTCATCCTTTACGCAAGATATTGCTATGTCTCGAATCTCATTCGCTATAGTTGCGTCAATGGGCCCAAATTCAATAAACTTACAAAGGTAATCTACACAAGCCATTTTAACGACATAATCATCGTGTCTGGTCATCAGATCCCGAATATAACAATATATCGGACCATTGCTCTCCAGAATTTGACTTTGACGGAGAACGGCTTGCTTGCAAATAATTTTGGACGCCACCGTTAAAAGATTAACTGCATTAATCACCAAGTCTGTTTCGTCAGATTTCAAACACGGCGCAGCCAAACCTTCAATCACATCCAAAATCATCTTCAATTCATCATAGCCGACCTTACTCATCAAATGCACTAAAATGCAAGCCAGCGCACTCATCCCGGTGCACAAGTCGACAAGAACTTCTCCGCTATACGTTTGTTGCCTACCGCTTTCTTGAATCCATTCCAGAATAACATTGGCTGCTGCTCTCTCGGTATTCAAGTCCCATCGAAGTCGGCCTATGTTTTCGATATTCATACAGAAAGCTCTAATCCATGTCTTATCCTGTTTAATCCGCGAAATAAACACTTCTGTTACAATGTTTGTAATAAGCATATCTGCTTCGTTATTATCTACTCGTGAACGCATCATAGAACACAAACACTCGCGAACAATTCTTGACAAACTTTTGGTTAATGTTCTATCTTGATTATTGTCCAGCGATGTCAGTAGACCCCTAACGAAAATGTTTTGATATTGAAGAAATATCATTTGGCAATTGTCATCGAAGTCATCAATACGTTGACAATCCGAACACGTGTTCAAAAGGCATAAAAATGCGCCACAGCTCATAGTATCCATTTCTTGTATATTTGCAAGATGCTGCTTTATATGTCTGGATCCAAACTGGGGATGCTGGTACAGCAGGTCATCCAGCGCTCTCATGCATACACTAATGATGTCATCGTCCGTCAGATAACGCTTGGTGATAGAAACAATACAATTTGAAAGTCTTGGTAATAAATCAAACACGTGTTTGTAGCCAGGGTCCTGGTGAGGTACTAAGCCAGGCGCTAAACTTGGTTCTACAGTCCTTTGTCCCGTGGAAGAAACGCTGAGAAGAACATCAAATATCAAGCCGAGAGCAACCGGATCTGCCACAACTTTGTCGGGAAGCGTTTCCAGGATGAAAATATATTCCTGACAGATAGTCTTTCTTTCATCCCCGGTGAGATACGGCATGGCTTTGGCACTAACACATAATATCTTGGTACTAAGTAGGCCTTCGCCATCTAACCGGCACCTCGCAGAGTACCAAAGCTGAGATATATGATGCATAAGTTGGTCCTGAGTGCTAAGTCGTGTGCATAAAGATTGTTGTCTTGTGCATTTGTCAATGTCATAAAGGTAGACCATAGTCTCAAGCAAAGCTGAGCTGACCTCGGAATCGTGCAAGGCGAATCCGGACTCGACAACCTCTCTCACCACACTGGCCTCTTTCATGACCTGAGCCCGAAGCGGCATTTGAAGGAGACACGCCTGAATTAACAACACGCGTCCCAACAACATGTCTCTAGTAGCCAACGTACAGCCACAAGTGACTTCAACGTGCTCACTTTCGAACTGTCGCAACAGGCAACGAAAATCTGCAGCGGCTCCGGCACAGATATCCACCAGCACACGTGTTATGCTCATGTCGCCGTGCATCAGACTTAATGGCAATAACCCACAAACGGCTCCATCCACCCCAGCAGCCTTCTTCAAGACCGTCGCAAGCATCAAACCTGAACCATCTACCGCCGTCAAGGAGCTCTTTTCAGCAGGATGGATAAGCAATAATCTCCTCAACGCGCCCATTATTAGGTCTTCTCTCTCCACCAACCTCTTCAATAGAACCGTCGCATTCACATCATGCACCGCCCTTCTGGCTAGGTCAGCAACTTCCACCCATTCCTCCATTTGCCCCCTTTTTCAAGACCCCCAAATATCCTGCAATTTCCCCCCCAAAATCCCCCCCCCGATATTCTCGACTGATCTGCGGCAGCTAACCTGCGACACCAAACCTACCCCATTCCTCCCATCACATCACCCAGCCCCAGCCCACCGCTACCTGGCCTAACAATTCGCGCGGTTTGCGTAGAGGCTTCCGCCACCAATTTTGCAAAACTTCACCATCAGAATTCCACTTCACACAGAGCCTCTGTCACAGTTCCAGCTGTTCACGGTGGTATAATTAATGTACCTCAACCTCCTCTTCGGAGCAGGTCTCGTCGGCGTCTCTGGCATCGCTGCTGGCCTTACTCTTGGCATTCTTACTCTGGGTATACCATCTCGTCACTCCTCTCCCCTCCCCTTACCTAGATCTCTCGACCGGCTTCCTGTAGACTTGACCCGGTTACGAATTATTGTGGAGAGTGGGAAGCGCCCGGATGCGAGTAGTGTGGAGAAGGTGCAGGGCCGTCGAGCGGCGAGACTGGTGAATATTCGGGCGAGTGGAAACCAGTTATTGATAACATTATTGTTGGTAAATGTGGCAACGAATGCGGCTTTTTCGATCTTGATGGGCGAGACCACGAGCAACGTCAGTGGCTTCTTATTGTCAACGGGAATCATTACCATTGTGGGCGAGCTCATACCTCAAGCCATCTGTAGCCGTTATGGGCTGGAGGTATGCAGTCAATTTGTGTGCTTGATTTACGCCTGGCAGTTTCTGCTCTACCCTTTTGTCAAGCCACTGAGCGCCGGACTGGACTGGGTCCTGGGCAAGGAGCTGGGGGCTCTGTACTCTCGTGACCAGCTCAGCCGACTCATCATGCAGCACAAGTGCATTCTGAGCAACCAAGAAATCAAGATGCTCCAGGGCGGCTTAAGCCTTCAAGGCCGTCAAGTCAAAGATGTAATGAGGCAAGCCAACGACGTCTTTTTCGTCTACGACCACGACCGAGTTTCGGCCGTTCTACCCGCCATTATTGAGTCGGGCTACAGCAGGATACCCGTGTTGTGCAAAGCAAACAACAATGCTTGCGCCATTTTATTCGTCAAAGATCTACTCCTATTCGACGGGATAGACACCCACGTCACCGTTACGCAACTCCTACACCTCCTCTACGGCGGTACCTTCGTGGATCATGTCTCAGAGACCATGCCCCTCTTGGACTTATTCAACTTCTTTAAACTTGGCACCTCGCACATGTGCATCGTACGCGCGGATACCAACCCCCCCGGTCCTCTACTCAATGACCCTGGATCCAACGGCCCTGGATCCAAAGGCCTTGGGTCCAAGGACCCTCAGCCTAACGCCGCAACCGGCCCTGAGGCTAGCTGCTGCGACCATAGCACCACCAAGCGCCGCCAAACGGACCCACAAAATTCTGACAATGAAGTGGCGGTGCAGACCACTCAGGAGGGGGTTGTGAGCGACACCGACAAGCTGCTTCAAGTCGGTACTCTGGCGGAGTACCCTCTTCACAGTCCAGAGGAATCGGAGTTGTGTGAGGTATCCGTGCAACCACGAACCTGGAACCTTGCGGCAGGGATTGACCGCGGGGCTGAATACAGTGCCGACCCCAGACCCGGTGGCTCTACCTGGCCGCTTGAACCGAGTTTCGAAATGCTGCCGGAACATGTTTCCGAAACGGTTTGCGTCAGAGTCAAGGGTTCGGAAAACGATTTTTCGAAGCTCGCTTCTTCCACCAAGAATCAGACTTGTCCCGTTAAGTATACTAGCGACCGAAAGAACAGACTACTACCCTCAATCGGCTACCCCCACTCGAGCGACCAACCATTGGTCGATCAGCCATTGGCCGATCAGCCGTTGACTGATCAGTCATTGACTGACAAACCGTTTGGTTCCCTAGAAGTGGACAGTATGGGAGAACCATTACCTTCTTGCCCACCGTCTGCTTCAGGGTTCGGTCGGTGTTGCGTGGAAGCTCGGGATGTGGGAATCGTTACTTTGGAAGATGTGGTGGAATGTATTCTTCAGCAGAGCATAATTGACGAGTTCGACACGCAGTCGCTGTGGCGAAGTATCACCGGATTTTCATCTGCTGGTGGGGGCATCCAGGACAGTAGAAAGGAGGTGCAGCCGACACGCTGTCGTCGGCAAGCCTTGAGTCGCGTGCTGCTGGAGTCGAAGACAGGCTTTGTGGAACGCGGGGGTAAATCGCTTCTGAAGCACAGTTCAAGACAAGACGATTTCCGAATCTTCTGGCCCTACCTATATCTCGCTATTCCCTCGGTGAGGCCGTACTCTTACGAAGAGATAAAGGGAGGAATCTTGACGAAGGATTTTATCGTCAACCGCGAGATTAAAATCGAACTAAATCAATATCTACTCGTTATTAAAGTACCAAGCAGACGACCACACCGACAAGCCAGATACACTCCCCCTGTAGATAAGCACATTCCCCCTGCACGAATACTTCTGCACGAATACTCGTTATTTAGGGCAAAGTGAGGAGAGAAGCGAGTCTAAAAGGCATGTTGGGCGTAATTGCTGGACCAGCAGTGGTAACGACAGTCGACCATTGTTTCATAGCCATTATCGATCTCACCCCCTTGACTAAACCCCACACTGAGCCCGAAATTGTAAAGTAAGATAACCGGGTGGTTGTCAAGTAATAGCCAGTACAGCTAGCAATGAAAATATGGCTGGGGGGAGTCCCCCTTTTTCCCTAGCACTCCTTCGAACGGTAAACCACTTAAAGCAACCTCGAACTAGCAGCTCCTGCAACATCTTCGATTAGACTATCGAAGGACGGTTTTGTCGGCCTGGTAGTGAAATTAAATTATTGAGGTGCAGGATGCCCTCGCCGTGGCGAGGAACATATGTGAGCATGAAGTTCCGTCGACTTTGGTACTCGGCCAGCGTAGTATCGGAGGTCTCTCTACTCACGTGCGCGTGGATGATGTTTTATTATTGGAGTCTTAAAGGTGGTGATCTGGAGGTTATCAAAAAGATCATGGCCCGACTGGGAGCCTATTTGCTACTTAGCATCTTAATTTCTTCATACAATATGTGGAGGATCCTTCTTACTCCCACTCGGAGCTTGCGAAAGCGTGTGGAATTTGACACGAGTCGTGGCTCGCCTCTGAGACGTGTCTGGAGCCGCCTCTTGCGTTCTCGTTCAAGCTTGATTCCGCTAGACACCGAGTCGCCTAGGAACAATTCTGAAGCCAGCGAGGCCAGACTGGACGTACGCTACGCGACGGAGCGTGGTGATCCCTTTTTCGTGAGCCATGACGATATAAGCCGTGAGGATATGAGTCGTGTGGACATGAGTCGTGAAGGGTCCTACAACGAGCTCGAGTACTTAGACGAAGCGTCCTCGGTAATCCAGCAAAGTCCGCTGCCCCGAGGCGGTATAGCATCCAACTCTACTAGACTCAATGCTAGTGAGCCTCGACGGCTCTACAAGTATCGTTCGGGACCGAGTTTCGACGAAAAACAGGACTTTGTGGACTTGTATATGTCGGGCTACACAAAAGGCCATCGAAATGGACTGCTGCTTCTCAATGTGGCGGCACTGCTCTTCCTGGCCCTTTACGATCGTGGCGTAGACTTTGAGCACCACGGCAGCTTCAACCTACTCATCTTCCTAATTTTGTTTGTTCCCATCAATGTGATTGTTGGGGCTGTGATCCTGTGGTACAGGTCAATGAGTACACGACTATTCCTGCAGTCATTCGCCTCGGTACTGACACTAATCCTCGTGGTCGTGGGTCTCCGACTGCACATCATGAAGCAGCGAAGCCAAGTCGGGTTTTTCGGCCAGACCATCTTGCGGGATGATGAGCTGTGTGAGATACCCGTCGCGACTCCCTATTTTGACGTGCTCCCCCAACGCGCGCAGACCTTCTGGACAGGACGCACGTCCTGTCCCGCCGTGCCCAGTCCGAGGGCTACCGCGTCCGGATTCTTCGCCAAAATCGACTTTACCATCGACCTCACGAACGACGGGTGGCTCAAGATGGATTGCCCTGGAGGAAGAGCTGAGTTCACATTCACTCCGGACACCCGGTACTGGACCAAGCGAGAGAAACTGTCTCAACCGTTGGGAAATTCCCTGCAGGATAATGTCGTCAAGTTCATGCAAGACCACAGACAGCCGTATATACCCACCGATGATAATAAAGGCATGTATGTGGGCGGCCTCGCCAAAGGGCCCTTGGCCCGAGGAGAAGACTTGACTGGAGCAAGTCGGACGCCAGATACAGTAGTCGGATACTGCAACGGCGTAAGTCGAATGGCCACTGCTATTCCGGACAGACCGGACGTGGAAGCGAAATTGAGTTTTTGGGACGCCCACCTGAGAGCTCAGCAGCAGGAGCAGGGAGAGCGACGACTGGACGACGGACGGTTTATGGACGATGAGTCGGCCGCGGATGCAGAGCACCGACAGCGGCAGCGGCGAAGGTCGCAGCGGGACCTGCCGCCAAACATTTTGATCCTGTTCATTGACGCTGTGGGTCGGAAGCAATTTTTTAGGAGACTTACCCAGACCAAAGCTGCCTTGGAAGGCATGGATTGGGAGGCCACCATGTCTCGTTCGCTTGCGGATGTGTCTTCGTCCAACTTGTATCAGTTCTTCCGGTACCATTCTGTCGGTTTTAATACAGGACCAAATACACAGGCGTTGTTTACGGGAGTAGAGCGAGATTACGATCGGTATTACCCGCCGATTTGGAGCATATTGAAGAATCGCGGGCGTTACGTTACGGGTGTGGTCCAGGGTCATTGCGAAGACTGGAATGTGTTATATCAAGAGCACTTGAACGAGACTAAAATTAGTGACGGTCGTGTCTTGGTGACGCCGGACGTGGATTACGAGCTGGAATCGATGGCGTGTTTTCCGGAGTATGAGCCGGTGAAGTGGACGGATCGCGGAAACTTCCAGGGCTACACGAGTATTGTGCGACGTTGTCTCTGGGGTCGGCATGTGCATGAGTGGGAATTGGACTACAGCCGTAAGTTTATCCAAAAGTTTCAGAACAAGTCGCCTTGGTTTCTAGTTACTACTCTCATGGAAGGTCATGAGGGTACGGGCGAGGTTATCTCTCAGGTGGATCGGGCGCTCGCCTCCTTCCTAACAAACGACGTGCCCAGAGACAACACTGTCCTGCTTCTCGTTTCAGATCACGGTCTACACATGGGCCTGAACTTCCTCTATTTCCTCGATGGCCGAATCAATCACCGCACACCCTTCGGAGCTATGCTCCTCTCCAGAGACCTGCTTAATAAGGTCGCCCAAAATGAGAACACCAACAACGACCAGAGCATCGACGCCGACGTCATTAACCAAACTCTCGTGACGAACCAACAACGACTAGTCACGGCAGCCGACATGTATTTCACGCTCAGACACATTGCTCAACGGGGGTTCAACTGGAGCTCCCTTCAAGCAAACAGCCACCACCAACACGACGACCGAGGCGAGGGTCAGATTGGCTGGCCTGACAAAGGCTTCAACTTACACAATGACCCCGACATACGCATCCCCCGACGCGGTCAGCTATCTCTTCTTGAACTTGTTCCCGCCAATCGAACTTGTGCGACCGCGGGCATCCCCAGCGAGACTTGCGTGTGTAGCTAGCACATCGCGTGTGTAGCTAGCACATCGCGTGTGTAGCTAGCACATCGCGTGTGTTGGCATCACACACAAAGTGTGCGTAAAGATGTGTGCCATCATGAAATTGCTGCGCAGCGTCGTGGATACAACACAGCCATGACCGGAGCGGAATATTAGAATATAACTTGGACGGTATTTACAGGGCATTCGTTTTTCTTCACCCGAAACAAACTTGAGCGTGTCACGCCTGGTACACAATCGATCCTGTTATGAGTGCAGCAGGGTCGGTCCTTGGAGCAGTCGGAGCAGCTCTTAAGACATAAGTTGATATAGCTTTGTTTGAGAGTGGCGAGTGTGTATTCTATGAATGCCTTTACGGCCTGCGATGCTTCGTGCGTCCCGTTGTCCAAAGAAGCGAGTTCCGGGGGGGTGAGTTCTTGGGAATTTAGGTCCAAATACTGCGCTTTTGCCCAGTCGATGTGGTCGACCACCCACAGTAATTCTGGGTTAGTAGAAGTCGAGACCCAGGCAGAGACAACGGGCAGCAGTCCGTTCCGTTTCACCGATCGAAGAACTTGGGAGTCGTTCCGGAGGTCCAAGTGGGTGGCGAACTGTTCACTCAGTTTCTTGAGGAAGGAGAAATCGTTCGCCAAAGGCTCTCGCTGGACAACTTTGCGCTCAGGACAGGAGCACGTGAAACCGCCACGGGTGTTCGCGCACTGGCAACCGACACCGCAGACTTTCACGCCCGACAGAGCACACTCGTCCAGGTCCACGCAGGACCCACCAGCCTCTTGAACCGCCTCCTGGAACTCCTCCTCACTGGGCTCACTCGGCACACGACCTCTCGATCCATTACCCTTCGATCCACTGTCTTTCGATCCACTGTCTTTCGATCCACTGTCTTTCGATCCACTGTCTTTCGATCCACTGTCTTTCGATCCACTGTCTTTCGATCCATTATTGGCAAAGCCACCCAATTGAGCGCGGTCACTTGCGGGATGAGAACGGTAATTCGGGACAGGGTGGTCACTCGAGGGTTTGGCCGATCGGGCGTCTAGCAACTTGAGTGCATCCTTACTCAAGCGTTCCCACTGTTCGGGGTGCTGACTCACGTATCCTCGTGGACAGCCGCAGTGGTAGCCGTTGGTCGCCGAACGCATGCAAGGGCCATGGCATTCTTGTGCGGCGCACAGTCGCCGTTCTGGCACTTGTTTCTTTACACACTTCTTCTGTTCCCAGTCGAACTCTCGACTCGGGTCTTTGCAATGGCACTCATACGACTTGTACGTGTTGAAGCACGCCGCATCACTTGGACACTTGTGCGAACCTTCCGCACACTCATCCACATCTACACATACTAAACGCTCGCGCTGCTTCCTCGTCCATTGATACCGCGCCTTAATCTCCTCCATCGGTAAATGCGCTTTGTGAATTTCATCCTCCGTCAACAACTTTGCAATTTTTCCTTCGACCTCCTGAACGGCGACCGCCGAAGGATCTACATCCGAATGACCTGTTTCTGAAACGAGCGCCGGAGGTGCTCGCCTCACCGCCTGCGACCGCTCCACCACCGAAGCATCCGGCCTCGGAACGAATCTTTCTTGCAGCTGCATGCCCTGTGCAAACACCTCAGCCACCGCCTCTTCCTTGACCAACGACTCTTTCGCGACGGCGCTGAGGCGCCTCCCTGTGACTGCCCCATCTCGCTCCACTGCCGAAACCACCCCCCCACCGCGCCCAACTAGCGTCCTTGAGTCAACCACCGGGCCCCTCATCTCGTCATGCCCACGACCACTAGCCGGCCTACTCGCATTCATACTTCCCACGCCACCTTTAGCCGAACCACCCTCCCCCAAGACTCTCTGGTCCAAGACGCTGCTGTCCAAACCACTAGTTCTGTTAACTAAACCAGAATTGATCGGACCAGTGCTAACCAGACCGGAACTAGCCAGACCAGAGCTCATCAAATTAGAGCCAATCAAACCGGAGGCAGCAAAGTTGACGGGCACCGCCGGTTCTTCTGCAAACGTCTTGTTACCATAGGTAAAGGCACCGTCAGCAATCAAACTGTCATAAATGCCGAATGGATGCCTCGATGCAGAATCCTGATGTGGGACCTCGTAGCTGCCAGGATCCTGCGGGCCTTCTCCAGTACGCCTTACCAGTTTCACGGTGCCTCTTTCAGACGTTGCAAACTGGGAACTTGGTCGTAGGTCGTAACCGGTACTTGCCATGTGTGAGGGAGAATAGGAGGGCATATAGGAGTAGTCGCTGCCTCGGTAACCACTGCCTGGATAGTCACCACCTCGACAATCACTTCCGCGGCATTCACCACCTCGGGAGTCACCACCTCGGGAGTCACTCTGCCGGTAGCCCTTTTGTTGGTCGAGTGGGTAGTTTGATTCTTTGGATGAATAGACCTCAATCCCGTGCGCCGCATTCACCTCTCCGTGGACCGTACTCGCACCTCCTTGGTCTGTACTCGCACCTCCTTGGTCTGTACTCACACCTCTCTGGGCCACAAAGTGCGGAGATGATCGGAGCACGTCTTTTTTCGTTCGCTCTCTTTTCGCATATCCGCCATCTATGGCCCCGCCATGGTCAATCCCCCTATCCCAGTCCCCCCCGTCCGAGTCGCGGCTATACCAGTCTGGCGCATCTGAGTCTTGGCTTTCTAAGTCCTCATCGTTGTAAGCCATAATAATCGTGCCCTCCTGATCGGACTCCATACTCTCATCGTAGCTGTAGTCCGTTTCGATCACGTCGGAATCCGCCACATGCCCACTCAAACCCGACTTGAAGTAAAAGATCTCTTCCAGCAAGCTCCCTCGAATCCCTGACGAAGGCAGTCTGGAAGACTTTGACAATTCACTTTCCTGGTGCTCACTCTTTTCTTGTCCAGTCTGCTCGATTTTCCCGGGACCCACTTCACTGTTGATCGAGCCTTGGTCACAGCTGCCGTCTCTCGTCAAAATTTGAACCTTACCATCCACGTCTAAATCACGCTTGTTGTCCGCTTCTTCCATGTCACTGTCATCCGTGCGGGTAGATTTTTTACTGTCGCCAGGTTGTAGTTCGATTTTCATCTGTGTTAGGCTGACACCTGCAGGGCTCATCCCTTTACCCAATCCCGACATTTCCATCTTCTCGCCCACCTTGTGACCCGAAGTCAGCGTGTGGTTCGTGCCAGTCTTCAAGTCGACAGCGGTGATCTGGAGCGTCTCTCTTTCCGGGTATGCATTGGGCGTCCTTTCTGTAGTTTTTTCTGGTGCCTCCCTTCTTCTATTTCCCGACGTCCGATGCGCCGAAAGACGTCGAGGCGAGGCTGCAGAGTCGGCTAGCGGAAGGTAGACAGGTCGCAATCCAGGTAGACACCGGCAGACGTGGCCAGCGTACACGTTTTCACACACCTGACTCAGCTTGCCGTCGACAACGGATCTGGCATTGGGGCAGGCGTTGACGCCTTGAAGAAGGCATTCGTCGATGTCCTCACACACCACGTAGTCGAATGCACCGGTGGTTAATCGTGATCGAGTGTAATCGGAATCCGACGCTGAGTAATCTGATCCAGAGGAAGCCTTTCGTTTCACAGGCAACAGGCCAACAGGACAGCCACATTCGTAGCTCCCTGGTGTATTGATGCAAAGCGAATCGTAAGGACACATCCTTCTCCCGCTCAACTGGGACTCTAGACACTCGTCCACATCTGAGCAGCTATGCATATCTTCGTTTAATACAAATCCAGACGGACACCTGCACTCGTAGCTTCCTTTCGTGTTGTAGCAGGTGTGAGAACATCGGTGCAACTGCTCGGCACACTCATTTACATCTCGGCAACTCCGGCCGTCGGAATCAAGTCGGTAACCTTCGTTGCACTCACAACGATAGCCCGGAATCAAATCGACGCAGCGATGCTGACACTTGGCTTGACCCGTCTCGCACTCATTCACGTTGCGACAGCCGCTACCTTTAGCTCGCCCATCACCTTCATATCCGTCCGGGCACACACATCGAGGAAAGGTATTCGGCAAGTCAACAAGGGAGTTAGGCTGAAGGAACACCAATCATTTCAATGTGACCACCGATCTGCGGCCGATCCAATTCGGATCGCAACCGTCTCTTGACCGTTCTTGATTGTGATCTATATCCCACGAACACACCTAATCCAACTCATTTAGTTAAGTGCATATCCTCCCTCTTTACTCGGTGTAGCTAACCTGTGTATCTAACCCGTGTATCTCCTTCCCACTATCCGGGGAGTATGGCGGCATCTCATGTAAATAAATTTTATCCGCTACAGCTCATCGGGTGGTGGGGATGCAGGTTACTGTCGATGACACGCATTTCGCGATTGGGTCACAATATTGTGGGAAGTAGCAACAGATTCCGTCCATTCTAACATCACATGTATTCAGGTTCTGAATCACGCCTTGTAAATTTGTGGTACTTAAACGGTTGAGCAACAACGCCATACTAGCTAACTAACTATGCAAATAAACTCCCAAGCGCCGCCTGACCGGTCACCTCCTATCCTAAAACGGTTTCCATTCCGAAGCGCTCAATTCAATGAGGGAGACAGTATCACATAACAACCGCACTCCTATCCTAACCCCGAATCCACCCGATGTCCTCTGGTGCCAGGCTCCCTCACTTACTTTCTTATTGAGGGCAAAATCTTAGATGCTCCTTCCAAATAGGGAGATTTCAAAACGAACCATGTTCCTTAAGTAAATCGGTCTATCAATCGAAGTGTCTTACCTTGCCCTTCTATTTGACTGTCATAGTCATTATACTTGAACATATGCAACAAGCGATCATCTAGGATCTCATAGGTGAACATGTTTCCCACCGTGTCGTACGGTACGTGCGGGAATATTACCTGACACACAGGACGTGGCAAGCAACGGGAGGCTACTACCTTATAAATAGTTTGTTTAGTTAGCGGATGCTCCTGAACTATGAACCTTTCAACAAGGACCCTGATCGCTTACCGTCGGCTGAATATTCAAATAGGTCGGTTGCAAAGCTCAATTCGCCGGGATAGTTAGCGAACACTGTTTTCCCTGCAACGAGGGGATTGCAAAAACGACTAAGCTACTCACCCCCATTATCAATCGTCAGTTCAAACGGCCCTGCCAGGAGCTGCTGAATATCCTGTCGAAGCCTCAGAGCTACAGCTGACAACGTCAGCAAGAATTTGATCAATAACAGTTTCATTTCTGAGATCGCGCGCGCGCGCAAACACACGCATTTGCGACAACTGTCTCGGGTAAGATTTTTTTTTGGAATCCTTCAACATTAGATATAGCTTTACACGTATCATACCAATGAGAGCACTTCATTTTGGCGCTGGAAATATTGGACGCGGATTTATTGGCAAGTTATTGGCCGAAGCGGGATACGATGTAGTATTTGCCGATATTGTTCCAGACCTGATCAATGCGCTGAAGGAGCGCAAGCAATTTGAAGTTCGCATCGTTGGTCAGACCGGAGAAAAGCGAGAGACTACTAAAATTAGTGGAGCAGTGTTTAGTAATACTGATGAAGTTTTGGACGAGATTGTCAAGGCCGACTTGATTACCACGGCGGTTGGACCAAGAATTTTGGAGCGCATTGCGAGCACGTTTGCCAAGGGATTGGCGATGCGTCGCGAACAGGGAGTGAAAACCCCGGTTACAATTATCGCATGTGAGAATGCCATCCGAGCTACCAGCGGTTTTAGAGTCCATATTGAGACTGCCTTTGATCCCACCACCGCGGAGTGGGCGAAGGAAAAGGTCGGCTTCGTCGATTGTGCTGTAGACAGAATTGTTCCGCCAGCCCGTCACGACGACATGTTGGCGGTTACCGTGGAGGACTTCTGCGAATGGGTTGTGGATGAGACTCAGTTCCCTGCCGGTGGCAAGATTGAGATAAACCACCCCGCAGTCGTGTACACTGATAACCTCGACGCGTTTGTCGAGCGGAAGCTCATGACGGTCAACACTGGCCATGCCATATGTGCTTACATTGGCAAGTTGAAGGGCTACAAAGAGATTCGAACCAGCATAGAGGACCCTGAGGTATTTAAGATCGTGAAGGGGGCCATGACCGAGTCGGGGAACGTCTTGGTTAAAAGGTAACAGTCACCGTCCACCACCCCTTAGCACACTTCGCAGCCAATTGGTTTTCTTTAGATACGGGTTGAATGCTGTTGACCACGCAAAGTATATTGACAAGATCCTGAATCGCTTTAAGAATCCCCATATTGTGGACGACGTGTCGCGTGTGGGCCGTGAGCCTATGAGAAAGCTGTCTGCCCAAGACCGATTGATAAAGCCGCTGGCCGGGTGTATTGAGTACGGCTTGCCTCATGAGAATTTGACAATGGGTGTGGCAGCGGCTTTGATGTATGACAACCCGGAGGACCCGCAGGCGGTGACATTGCAGACAATGGTGAAGGAGAAGGGTCGTGAGGCAGTTTTGACGGAGGTGTGCGGTCTGGACGCTCAGGATCATAGTTCGGTGGTGTCGAATGTGCACCATGCGTACCAGAAGCTTACTGATACAATTTCTTCGGTGTGAGCTAACTTCTTTGTTCCGTGCGCGGGTCACATGCGCAAGTGAACCCAGTTGTTCCGGGTCCCTTTATTGTCTGTGATGTTGTTGCGGAGTGTTGATTTGCTGTGTGTTCAGTCCGTGTAGTAGTAGTGTTTAAAGCTCCTTTTCAAAAACTTTAATTGGGCTGGGGAAATTAATGGATGCAGGAATCGGTGCCGGGCTTGTCTATTAGGAAGGCGAGTTTGCGTGCGACTGCGGACTTTGAAGGGCAGCGTGTGTTTGGTGATGCGGTATACCACGTGGCGTTCCCTATAGGGTTTCATTCGACGACGTTGGAGCAGGCGTATGGGTTGTTATGTGAGCGAGAGGAGGCGGCGTTAAGCAAGTTGGGTTTGGATAGAGATCCGAGTCGGTTGGCGCGTAAGTTGGGTGAGCTGTATAGTGGTCATGCGGAGGAGGGAGTTGAGGAGTTTAACCGGATAATGCGTGCATTTCGGCCGGATGGTGCGATGCGATTGCCGGACCCGGATTTTTGTGCGTCGTTCAGTGTTGCAGGGAGGACGCAGATCTCGGCGGTGAGTGTGAACGAGTGTCTGGCGCCGTTTACGACGATATGTTCTTTGGACCCGGCGATGGTGCCTCGAGCGGGCGCCGTGCCTTTCGTACCAGGCGACCGGCACACTTTGGCGGAGTTTGACGCGGATATTGTCCCGCGTTTGGATGAGCAAAACACAGTCTCATTGCTCGTCTCTATTCCCATTGTGGTCCTGCGGTTGGCGCTGCTCAAGATGAGTGCTAGCAGTCGGCCCAATGCCCATTCGCCTAATGCTCACTCGCCGGCGGCACATTCCCCTGCGGGTGTCATTTCGTTCCCGCTTCAAGTCAAAATCTCTTTCCTCTTGGACAAACCCACAGCCCACACGCACAGCCTGTACTTTGTGGAACACGTGCACCAGAGTGACGTCAAGGCGCCGCTACACTCCTGCCCGCTGCTCATCACCAGCCAACGCGTGCCCACCTGGAATACTAACGTGCCCTGGTTCCCCACCGCGCCTTTCCAGAAACCCGTGCCCTGGACGCTCGTCTTCCGGGTACCCAAGCACATGACTACCCTAGCCAGCGGCGTACTCGTCGAGGAAAGAGAAGTCGTCGAAGATGGCCAGGTCTGGCGCGAAACCGTACGCCACACCGAAGACTACAGCCTCCTCCCGCTCCAAATCTGCTGGATTGCAGGCCCCTTCGTCTCCATACCCGCCTCGGACCCCTCCCTAGCACCATTCAATATCCCCAAAGAAGACGCCGAGAAAACCCAGGGCGGAGGCCCCACTCCCGGCGGAGCACCGACCCCCGGTGGAGCCCCAACCCCGGGTTCCGCTTTCAGCTCAGCCTTTACTCCAGGTCTAGGCAGCTCCACTACTCTGGGCGGATCCTTTTCTCCGGGCTCCGCCTCCGGCGGAGCGCCTACAGCCGCCAGCGAGTTGGACGACCGCCAGCAGCCAGCGTCGACGGACGGCCGCGAGTTGGGACTGCGGTACATCATCCTGCCTGGCCACGAGCGGCGGCTAAAGGTCTCCATCTGCCACTTGGCCAAGGTCGTGTCTCTGCTAACCAAGTGGATCCAGCGAAGGCACGTTCGCGACATTGTGCTGGCCTTTCTCCCACTGCCACTCGGCCAAGTTGAGACCTCCATGAACAGCGAACTGCCGCTGCACCCAGTTGCGCGGCACAATCTTGCGGGCTGCCTCACCAACGTAGGCGACTTTCTCTACCGAGGCGTCGCCTTCGACAACCTCTGCGTCCTGCCGGTTGATGAGCTCCACGGACACGACCTGCTAGGGGAACGGGCACGACTGAAGAAACTTAACATCGTCGAGGGACTCCTGCACCTCTGGCACTGGCCCGGTCTCGACCAGACCGCCAAGCAACACCTGTGGCTGGTCGTCGCCATGCGTAAATATTTGCGACACCTCATAGCAGCGGAACTCTTCGGCAAGGTCGAGTCCGCTATGATTCTACAGAAAACCTTAGACTTGTATATTACACTCTGCGACCGCGGCTGGGAACGGTACCCGCTGGCTTGCAGTAAATCTCTATCTCATTATTCAGTGTAAACTACCCTCTACCCTAACCCATCGGTCTCTAGAGCTACCGGTCTCTAGACCTACCGGTCTCTAGACCTACCGGTCTCTAGACCTACCGGTCTCTAGATCTACCGGTCTCTAG